AAACCAAGTAAATTTGTAGAAAAATGACATTCCTTCCTCTGGTGTCATGACAAAAATACTTGGTTGTCTCCTGAACTCTCCCAGCATTCTGCCTCTGGCAATAGAAAGGCAAAGAGAAGTCCTCAAGTAAAGAGGACGTGGAAAGTAGGAACTCCGGATCTGGGTGAGGGGCTGTGAGAGAGAGAAGAAGGGGTGGATGCAGATAGCGGCCTGTGGGTTTAAGCCAGTGATTACACTTGGCCCATGAACAGAAAGATGCGTGTTTTCATATAACATCCATATATCTTCCTCATTATAATTACTGCCAACACTGAAAATGTCAAGACATGGCAGGAAGTATGTCTAAAATGACAGAATTCTTTCTCACTTTAACTTTTTCCTGTGAAATGTTGTGATTGAAAACATTCCATATCGGTGTTTTATTCTACTCCAGAAGAAAAAAAAAAAAAAATCTGTGCTGATTCCCTGCTTCTGAATCTAAAGGATCTTTAATTGCGCACACTTGAGAAAGTCATGATGGAAGGACCACAAGAACCCTGCTGGTCTCGTCATTTTACTGGGGAAGCAAGAAAATGTAGTTTCTAGTCAGCCACCTTTCTGCCACACCAGTAATTTGCCAAAAGGGTATGTACTGGGTCATATCAGCCTCAGCAGGTGGAGCAAAGCGAAAGGGAAGGGTTGTCATGCCACGTTCACGGCCTTTGTGCATCTAGAGATCCCCACTGGGAGCTTGCCACCATTTTTATAGGGTCCCACCAGAGGCTCACAGCTGGGTGCATTGCGCATGTCGGCAGGATAGGAAGCAGGGCCTCTCCACCCCACAGCTCCAGAGGAACAATTCTTGAGAAGTCAGTACAGTTCTGCCTCCCAGCAAGGCCGGGAGAAACTGGCTGTCAGGATGCTGCCAGTAATTAAGGATTTGGCCCCAGAGGGCAGCCACTACCCATGTGCTACTGACTATGGCATCCAGGTAGGAAAAGTGAGACTCCTCCAGGCGTACGTGGGACTGGGAGACATTTAGTCAGATTAATGCACGCCATACACGCACACTCGCGCAACTGTGGTTGGCAGTGGAGAAATAAAGTGTGGCTCTGGCCACGTGGGAGCTTGAGTGCCCAAGCCTATTAACTCCACACTTAAGGAAGGTGGCAGGTAGGGATAAGGCCCAAAACTTATGTTCACTCCTGCTTTGGATAATGGAAACCTGCTCATCAGGTATCTTTGGCTAAAGATTTTTCCAGTGTAATTAGCAAACTTCTCAATTATACAGTTGGATTTGAAGCTCCTGCTAACCTTAAAGTGTAAATAAATACAAATTAAACAAAGAGAAAGGATTAGCAGAGAGAGCGTGTGGTACAGAGGTTAAGTGTAGGCTCTGAGCCCAGGCTGTGGCCTTGGAGGGCGTATCTCTCTGTGCTCCAGTTTTCTTACCTGTAAAATGGAAATAATATACTTAATCACAGTTTTGAACTGTGCTGAACCCCTAAGTGCCCAGTACATTTAGTTTATTGTTATTTGAGTGATGTCATTTTAAGAGTAACAACTCTACTAGTACAAATGGATCAGTAGACACTTTGAAAAGGAAGAATAATAATTCAGAAATTGAATATCAAAATCTCAGAAACTTGCCTATGTTTCCTATATGGAAGTAAACAAATACTTAAAATTTGAAAATGAAATAAATTCTGTCAACAAACATTTATTGAGTACCCATAAGTATCATGAAGAATGTTGTAGGAATACATAAGACCTTATCAACTTCCGGGAGCTTTAATTCTAGAATACAGCAGGTGTTAGAAAAACAGCATAGAACGGTTAAGCATTTTAGGAAGGCTGCCTGGAGCAAGTATAATTAATATGTAACCTTACCTCCATGCTCTGAGAAAAGATACTGGATGAAGAATCTGCACACTGAGAGTACATATTGCCTTGAAGTATTTAAGTAAATACAGATTATTATTCAATTCCAAGTGCCCTATATATATTCATAAAACCACAGCATGAAATTAAATATGACTGACATGCTAAACAGAATGTTGATAATCTGCTCAGTAGGTTACATTCTAGGCCACAGTTTATAACACTAGAGGAAATGTTAAGGGTCTTTTTTCATGGTATTTCATTGCACTGACCTTAAATAGACCATGAGAATAAACACAGCATTATAGACCTAAGGCCTTAAACAAACGTGAATTTTATCATTAATTTGCAAGCAAATATCACTCTTAATAAAATTTGAGAATATCACCCAGAGCTATATCTAGTCAATCAAATTGTGGTTATTATCAGATGTAGTTTTGTACAAGGTGAGGACATTTTCATGAATGGGGACATTTTTAATATTTGCGAAATTATGGGAAAGAATGGAAGTAACATTGAAATACTATTTCAGATGTTAGTAACAACTTTCAACAGGCTTTTATTTTTCTCATCCATTTAGCTCGCTGTGAGATAGGAGAGGGCAGCCCTGCTGTCTCCATTTCTCATATGAGAATCAGTTGAGGCTTACGCAGGTGTATGTGGCACAGGGGCAGTTCCAAGTGTCTGGTTCCCGATGACCAGGATACGCTTTTAAGGATTTTCCCAAGCTCTTCCAGAGTCATCAGTTGGCCAGCATTTTGGATTATCTACATGTTTGGTTCTTTTCTTCTCCTCTGTTTTGCCTTTTCTTTTTTTCTTTTCTTTCTTTTTTTTTTTTTCCATTTAGCTGCTGTTTTTTCTTTTGTTCATTCTTCAGACACACCTTGGTTACCTCCTGTATGCTCAGTGCTATTGGACAATACTTTGTTGCAGCTTCCATTAGTATTCATGAGATTGACACATCTGTTTTTTATTCAAAATAATCAGATTTTTCTGCCTCAACTTTTTATAGGAGGAAACGGTCTATAAGAAATGAAATTATTTGAAATTATTAGAATTTTAAAGTTACTTTGCTGATTTTAAACTCCTTAAAATAGGAATTATAGCTTGTTCATCTTTTAAGCCCATTCCAATATTTAATGAATGTGTGGCCGGTACTTCTATTGTTGGATAGTGGCTTTTATCTGAATTGGTAAGTGTTTCTGTGGTGAATGTGGTAAATGTTAATGGCTGTAATTGTAAACACGAATGGTTACTATTAAAATCAAGTTCATTGGTGTGGCATAGTCCTACACAGTGTTACATTTATATCCTGTAAATTCCCCACATATGTTAAACTAAGTAGAAGTTGTCTGGGTCTTCAAGAATTTTAAAGCAAATTCTTTTAAAAAATGGAAAACCTTCCAATTGCAAATTGAGTTATTACCACATCTCTAAATTCTGGGCTTTCTCTTCTCTTTATCCATTCATTAATCTTCCCTATCTACTTACCCACCCTACCCACCTGCCATCCACCCATAACCCTCCTATCTGCCTGCCAATATCCCCTTCCACCTTCTCACACCTTCATTTCCATTATCTATTTTAACAATAATAACCTTGAAAGGAGTGTGAAAAAAAGACAGTTGCTAATAGAGTTAGCACTGTTTTTTTGGTTTTAATGAAGATGAGCACAGCCCTGACTGGTTTGGCTCAGTGGATAAAGCGTTGGCCTGTGGAATCAAGGGTCCCGGGTTCGATTCCTGTCAGGGGCATGTACCTTGGTTGCAAGCACATCCCCAGTGGAAGGTGTGCAGGAGGCAGCTGATCGATGTTTCTCTCTCATCGATGTTTCTAACTCTCTATCCCTCTCCCTTCCTCTCTGTAAAAAATCAATAAAATATATTTTTTAAAAAGATGAGCACAGTATTGATTGACCAAAATCTGACACTTTTAGGAGTAAGCAGGGCACTATTGATAATCATGCTGGGAAAACAGGCATAAACCAGGGCTGTTCTGGGTACATCAGAGCATATATATGGTCACTTGTTCTAAAAGTCTAAAGTGGGACTCATATAGTATTATGGTTTTTTTTAATTCTAGGCTATATGTTATGTGAATTCCTTACTTGTATTAAAAACAAAGAGTGGACAGACTTTTAAAGATTGTATTTTGTATGTATTGCTGTAACTTGCACCTGATTTTTTGTGTGGCATCAGTTCCTGTGCATTTACTCGTTAGCTGTCCATTTTGAAATCATCCAGATATTTAATTTCTTCCCCTTTGTTACGTTGATTTGGGGTTGATTGCTCTCCCACTCATCCTGTGGAAATCTGTGAATCACTTGCATTAGGTATAGCCTTTCCCAGGGTGCCAAAGGGGCTGTAGCAGAGGAGGAACACCCCATATTTGTGCTTCTGCGCCCACAATAGAGCTGGGGATGCTGGGCTGGCAGCATTTGCACAAAATAACCACTCTGCATAAGCAGGTGATTGTGCAGGGGCCACAACAGGGGGAGGAAGCAGCACCAAAGAAGCTCCTAGTCAGAGGGAGCAGGGACAGCACGAGGATAACAAGCTCAGTCAGGCCATCCTGGTGCTTGCTGGCAACTCTTCAGTGGATAAGAAGTGGGAATTACTGACGTATGGAAGGCTTAGCTGAGGCATATGTCATTTATTAACCCACGAAATGACTTTTTCCTCTGAACTTGTGTCTCTGTTTTACATACACTTGCTGTGCGATCTTAGGCAGATCTCATAACCCTTTTGGTCTCAGTTTCTTCATTATAAAATGAGACTAAGAATAGTGCCTATTTATAAAGTCATTAAATTGGTTCACTTATATAAAGCATTGGGACATGGTATTCCAAAAATATTTTAAAAGCTACTATTTCTGTTAGTATCGTAAGTCACCTATAGAGGAAAGGCATGTTGTAACCAATGAAGGGTGGGGCAAATGTAGGTTACAGTTGCCAGTACACAAAGCAGATCTTATTCTTGTATTATTATTTATTAAGGATCCCTTTATTTTCCACACGAATAATTGTAAACCTTCTTTTGTCCCACTCTATATAAATCAATGTTTGATTGTAATTTAACTCATATGGTGTATATCCCTATCGTCATTTTAATTTGCTCTCATCACTTATGATTTTTATACAGCCCGGAAGTCAAAGAAGTTGGGAAAGTTAAAAGGGATTCATGAGGAGCAGTCACAGCAGCAACAGCCCCCGCCACCACCCCCACCGCCCCAGAGCCCTGAGGAAGGGACGACCTACATCGCCCCCGCAAAAGAGCCCTCTGTCAACACGGCACTGGTCCCTCAGCTCTCCACAATCTCACGCGCACTCACACCCTCCCCTGGGATGATCCTAGAAAGCATCGAGCCCGAAATCGTGTATGCCGGCTACGACGGCTCCAAACCGGACACCGCCGAGAGCCTGCTCTCCACGCTGAACCGCCTCGCGGGCAAGCAGATGATTCAAGTCGTGAAGTGGGCAAAGGTAATTCCAGGTAGGCTTGCCTCTCCTTCCATGGTCTGTGTCCTGAACTGGACAGGGCAGGGCAACCTCTTTCACCACATCCAACTGAGTGATCAGAGTTGGCTTTCTCTTAAATCCCGGGAGCAAATTGTAAAATTATCAGATGAATCGAGTGCGTCGCGGAATTCTGGTTAGTGTGCTCACTTCTGCGGAGCAGTTAGAGTTGAAGGTTCTCTTGGTAACAGGTCACACATTTCCTGTGGATGACTGCGATGGCAATGTCATCCCAGAGAAATGGTCGTGAAAGCAGAACAGCCTGTTACTAGCAGCTTGTAACCAAGGCTGATCTAACCAGAGGCCAAGTACACCAAGACCTGTCTATTAAGTTGTAGGAGCCCCTAAAAATATGTCCTTTCAAAAAATAACATCTTAACCTCTAGCACCCTTTAAATTGTCCTTGAAATTCCTACTTTAGTCATTTTTTATGCCACAGGATTTTATGAATAAGATCCCCATTAATTTACAGAAACATCACTTAGAATTGCTACCATAACAGCCCAGTACAGTTACCCAAAGCAGTTTGTTAAAGGACCTGTGGCCAACCAACAGCCATAGGAATGCAGACTGGGGAAAGCTCGGTGACGGATTTTTTGAAGAGGAGCCTAATGTCACTGGGAATACAGGACCTGGGAAAAGGAACAAAAGAAGGGCTTGAGGCCCAGAAAGGAGCAGGGGACAGGTGCCAAGAGTGCTTATCCAACTTCAGAACTTTGTTGAAGTCCAGGGTTATCCCAGACTATGGGGAAGCAAGGAATAATGCTTGTTCAACCACTGCAAACTCATGAAGAGTAAAAGCTACATAATTGCAGATAACACAGTAGCTGATGTTATTAAATTACCCTATATGTTAATATTATTAACTGGGAGTAGGATAGAGATGTTTTACAGGTTAATACAGAGTCTTTCAGGCTAACCAAGGATTTTAGACCATCATCCAGCGAAACGCCCTGAATTCCCCAGTCTTATTGGCCCTGGCTATTCACCCTCATTGAGAATTTAGAGTGAATTGAAATGAGGCGTTAAACAGGGCCAAGCCCAGGGTGGGTACTCTGTAAATGACTGTGACATTGATAGGAATCTTAGGGGAAGGTGGCTGTTGGGAGGTTAACTTAAGAAGCTTCTTCCTGGAATGTACTCAAATGCTAAGTGTATTTCTGTGTTTAATTGTTCTGTTCTTCAGGATTTAAAAACTTGCCTCTTGAGGACCAAATCACCCTCATCCAGTATTCCTGGATGTGTCTATCCTCGTTCGCCTTGAGCTGGAGGTCGTACAAACACACGAACAGCCAATTTCTCTATTTTGCACCAGACCTGGTCTTTAATGAGTGAGTACCTGTTAATTAGCCTTCATAAAGCAGACTGCAGCGTTATTTCTTATGTCTTTATGATTTCTAAACAGATGTATGTTTGTGAAGGAATCCACTGCTGCTTGCAATTTTTAGGAGTTAAAAAAAGCTATCATTTGAGAATTTAAAAATTACTCTTTACCAAATCATCGTGCACATGCCTGCATATGTATAAATCAGAATATATAAATCTCACATAATTGTATGTGGGAATTGTCCCAAAAGAAAGATGATCCAGTTGGCTCCAAAAGCTTGACTGGTACAAAGCCACAATTAATAGAAAACAGCCGCTTTTGGTATCTACACTCAGACTGTCTAATTTCTAGGAAGTGTGAGTGTAGAAGCACCTACTTCTGTGCACATTCATGTAGTTCTTCTGTTAAGGCTGCACAGCTGCTTGGGGTGTTTTCATGACAATTTTATTTATTCTTCTTTGCAGTCATAGGAGAAGCCAAACTGTTAGTTTTGTGATGCACTTTCAAAGATTAAAAGAATTGCGGTTGGTTTTCCTTTGGCCGTGAATTCCTTCCTATGTTTTAAGTTTACATGTTAATGCTGTTTGTATTCCACATGCGCGCATTTCCTCTGTGTCTCTCCAGCAGTGCTTCTTTGTATTTGTTGGGTCAAGAGATACAGAAAATAAACTGGAACGTTGGAGTGATGAAGTGAACCACAGCCATATTCCAACAGATGGCTCTCCCTGGAGATATGAAAATAGGGGTGTTCAGTGGGGAAGGAAGCAGATGAAAAATAGATTGATGATCAAAGAAACAAAAGCAATGGAAGAGATTAAAAGTGGACACAGAGTGCCAAGATACTGAAATAGCACCAGCACTATTTACCTGGGAGGACTGGTTCACCCGAATACGGTGACCTGCAGGCAACAGTATCCCAAGATAAATCAGGAACGGCAGTTGTTGGCTCTCAAGGTGACCCTTCTCTTGGCAATTACAAAGAATAATTCTATTACTGCATAAATCTTCACCAAAAGCATGAAGTGCGGCCAAACAACTGACGTGCACATTTTAATTTACTTGTTGTCCTCAGTAATTAGTTGATATTACTAAATAATAAGCCTGTTTTAAAATATGGCTTATAAGCCAAAGAAAAACATAGTAAGGAGGGTATTTTCTTTAAAAAGAAGTGAGGGCAAGAGGCTGTTGGTGTCATCCAGTGTGTCTCCATTTCTTTTCAACAGGAGATTAAAGTGATCCATTTAATTTCATTTAGCACATACATTTTTGTCATAAAATATATGTAACAGAATTTTCCGTTTTAATTACTTTAAGTGTACAGTGCAGGGGTGCTAATTGCATTCACATTGCTGTACAGCCCTCCCCACTGTCCGTCTCCAGTCCTTTTTCATCTTCCTTAACAGAAACTCTGATCCCAGGGAGCAGTAACTCCACATTCCCCCCACCCAAAACCCTGATAACCGCTAGTCTGTGAATTTGCCTGTTCTAGGTATTGCATCAGACAAGGTGTGTCCTTTTGCTTCTGACTTATTTCACTTAGCACGTCTTCAGCGTTCACCCTTATTGGAGTATGTATCAGGATTTCATTTGACGGCTGAATATTACTGCATTGTATGTATATACAGTGGGTCCTCGTTGATAACAGGTTTTGCACTTGTGAATTGGCCTCTTTCTACCTTTATTTGTCAACCCTTGCAGCACTCTCAGGGCTGTTCGCAGGCCTGCACAGAGGCAGTGCGTTTCCGCGGCCCAGCCTGTGTGTTTCAGCTGAGACTGTGTCCCATGTCAGCCTTCATGTTGTAAACAAGTGTCCTTCTCATGGTCTACTTAGTGCCATAGGTTGGCACCATTGGGCTTTTTGTTGGTGATTTCCCTGTGAACGTGACTCCCAAGCATGTGCTGAAGTCTAGGGTTCCTGAGAGCAAGAGGCTGTAATGCGCCTTAAGGAGAAAATCTAGGCTCTAAATCAGCTTCTTTCTGTGCTGTTGGCCGTGAGTTCATGAAACAACAGTATGTGTCGCTAAGGTGTCTCTAACAGAGATACACATAAAACGGGAGTAGGTATAGGTCAGTTGATGAAAATGTTAGAGCCAGTGGCTCTTGAGAGCCTCATGCTGCCGTAGGAGGAGCAGTTCAGTGCTCGCTAATTCGGTCTTTGCTGCCACCTCCTAGAACATAAGACCTTATTTATTTTCACCAGATTGAGAGACTTACCCACATTTTGTTTACTCTTTCATCTGTTGATGGACATTTGGGTTGTTTTCCCCTCGGGCTACTGTGAATTTTGCTGCTATCCACATCGGCGTATAAGTATGTGTTTGAATCCCTGCTGTCATTTCTTCTGGGTATGTACCCATGAGTGGAACTGCTGGGTCACATAGCGATTCTAACTTTTGAGGAGCCACACAACTGTTTTTCACAGCAGTTGCACCTTTTCCCTTTTCTGGCAATGTAATGAGAGTAACAAGAGTTCCAAATTCACCACATCCCTGCCAGCACTTATTTTCTCTTTTGTTTTGTTTTTAAATAGCTATAGTAGGTGAGAAGTGTTGGGGAGAGTTTAAAATATACTCCATATATAACATCATATAGATTTAAAGTGTATAGCATGTTGATTTGATACATTTATATATCCTATATTTTAATAAAAGCCTAATATGCTAAGTGTCCAGTCGACCATTCAACCAATCAAAAGTGTAATATGCTAAGGCTGTTCAACCACTCACTATAACGTGCACTGACCACCAGGGGCCAGTCTACCAGTCAATCAGTCACTATGATGTGCACTGACCACCAGTGGGGGGCAGATGCTCCAACTGATAAGTTAGCTTGCTGCTGGGGTCCAACTGATCAGGACTGAGCGAAAACGGGCCAGACATGCCCTGGAGCCCTCCCGCAGTGGTCCCTCCCCGACTGGCCAACCTCCTGTGTCCCTCCCCAGCCCCGATCGTGCACCAGTGGGGTCCATTGGCCTGGCCTGCACCCTTTCACAATCCTGGACTCCTCGGGATGTCGGAGTGCTTGTTTTGGCCCGATACTGCAGGCCAACCTGAGGGACCCCACTGGTGCACAAATTCATGCACCAGGCCTCTAGTTGTAATATGATTGCCATTGTGCCTCTAGCACCTTTATCATGTCAGATAATCATCATTTCCTTATTTGTGGTGAGAACAAATAAAATCTGGTCTCTTAGCAAGTTTAATGGTTATAATACCATTGTCTGTATTCACTATACTGTGCATCAGATCTGTAGAACTTGTCTACTAGTTGAAAGTTTGTGCGTTTAAACAGCATCTCTCTTCCCCTACCCCTAACCCCTGACCAGACCACCATTTTACTCTGTTTTTGCAAGTTTGGCTTTTTAGGTTCCACAGACAAGTGATATCTTAGTGTGCTTGCTTTATCTGTCTGACATATGTCTTAGTAGGTATGAAGTGGCATCTCCTTGTGGTTTTGATTTGCATTTCCCTAATGTTGGGAACCTTTCATGTGCTTAATTAGCCATTTGTATGGCTTCTTTAGAGAAATGTCATTCAAGTCCTTTGCCCATTTTTTATCAGGTTGCTTGCCTTTTGTTCTTGAGTTGTAGGAGCTCTTTACATATTCTGGGTATTAAACCCTTATCAGATACGTGATTTGTAAATTTTTCCCATTCTGTGGGTTGTCTTTTCACTTTCTTGGTATAATATCTTTTAATGCACTTTTAAAATTGAAGTTTTTAATTTTAATGAAGTCCATTTTATCTTTTTTTTATCCTTTGTTGCCTATGTTGTCATCAATTAATTTTTAATTGTGTGCAAACATTCAACTTTACAGGTTCCAAACAAAGTGCGAAATTGTAAGAATCCTTCTTAACAAATGAAACTTAGGGTCAAGCACCTTATATTTGAAGCCTGGGAGAATTAATGTCAATAAAGAGTTTGGAAAATAAGGAATAATAAACCAAAAAAAGAAAAAGGAAAGGTCATGTAAGTTCTTTATGCATTTATCTGTTCTAGAAATAGTAATAGAGATAAAATGGAACCAACAACAAAAGTTGCATTCTAATGTTATAAGTAGTTTAAATGTTATGAAATCACATAATATTTGAATGAAAAGTTTGTCTCTTTTTCTGAAAACCATTGACCTCAACTTGAACCTAGACTTCTGTAAGCTTTCTCTCAACTAGAAAGAAAAGGGTGGAGCTGTGTCTTTTTCAAAGGACTGGGAAGGGGGAAGGCTACTCCCAGGAAACATTTGGGGATGGCATAAAGCCTTTTAGGCAAGTTGAGCTTGATGCGGTAGCTCTATTACAGGGTGCTATCACAGACCCTGTATTTTTTAGGGAAACTACTAAGTTACAGAGAATGTCCTGCAACTAAAGTCTGAATGTGGATGCATGCTTCATCCTGCATGTATTCAGTGTTCTAAGCAGCGGTTTTAGAATACTGGGGAAAAAATATATAATTCCTGTCTCATGGAACATAACAGTCTAGTAGGGAAAAAGAAATTATTTAAAGGATCCCAGAGTTATTATTGTGATAAGTATCGAAAGGAAAATTGCTTTGAGGGCAAGCAGTTCATGGGAGGTGTTGATCTAGTCAGGAAAGGTTTCCCTGGACTAAATTAGTGTCAATCAATCAGGTTAAGGAAGTATAAGAAGAGGAGAGCTGATTTAGGCTGAGGCACCAGCATGTGCATAGGCCCTGTGGCAGGGAGGGCCTGAATGAAAGACATTGTAATGATGGACATGGAGAGATGTGAACAGGTGTTGAAAGCCAAAAGCACCAGCAGTTGCCAGTGGTTGGATTCTGGTGGGGTTTGGAGGGGAGGAAGAAGTCAATGTCTAGGATGACTTCCAGGTCTGTGCCTTAAGTGCCATGTAGGATTTGGTTGGTGTGACTCCCTGGACTAGGGAACAAGGACAGAGGACCAGGGTTTAGAAGGGAAGAGTAAGGGAGGCCAGATTTGGACATGTGAGGGTTGAATAATCTTTGAAACTGTATCCAAGAGGAAATATTAAAG